CTTGTCCCTCGACGTGATAGGAGACCCCGACGAAGCTATGCTCACCATACGGGGAAGTTGGTCTTAAGTCATAACTCCTCTCCTCAAGAGCAACGATTTGGAGGGCTCCTGTTCTGGACTGGGCCTACACTTAGCCCAAACATCATACAAAGTCCAATTCAACTATGATGTAGGAGAAAACCAGCGGGAGAGAGTCTGCCCTTGACAATGTTGGGCAGTGATTCAACTCCTCTCGTCGACCAGGATTTGTCCTCTGAGGAAAACCTCATGACTGGCGATGAGGACCAATGACACTTAGGAGGTCCTCGCGAGCACCCTTTATTCCTCTCGTCGACCAGGATATGTCTTCTGGGGATAACCTCATGACTGGAGAGGAGGACCAACGATACTCAGGAGGTCCTCACGAGCACCCACCTCGTAGGGCATGCAACCAACGCCCCCGAATGTCCCGTAGTCCTCTTGATTCTTAAAGGACTGCATACACGTCCTCTTGATAATTCGGAGGAACCCATTCTGGTTGGAGATCACATGCTGGCCTCCACTACACACGTAGGACCTGACATTCCCCATTTTGGGTCAGCTTAGTCAACCCAACAATGGGGACCTTGGCCCAGTGCTGTGAGATATAAATATCATCTCACTTGAGAGAGTCATGTATTCTTCATTCAGACATACTCTCACACTTACTTGCACTTACTCTGAATCTTATTTTGGTATCAGAGTGTCTTGCAGGTACTTCTTCCCCTATTTTACATTCAACCACTATTCGACTTAAAGCTCACGGACCTTGAAAATCCTTTTTGATCAGATACGATCAAACACACATAAATTTCTTATTAATACTAATATCATTGTTAAATTTTTTGAGCCATTTTTTTAAAATTTTATAAAATTCAAGCTAATTTTAAAAAATAGAGACCAATTTACAAAATTTGAATAATTAATTAAATAAAATATCATTAATTTTATTTGATTTGATTTTATACCATTTGTAATGACATCCAAACAACAGAAGATCCATTCTTTTTCTTTTCATATTAGAAAAGGTATACTTAAATGGGAAATGACTAAAAAAAAATGGAGAAATATTAAATGAAAAAAAATCAATCATATTAACTCTCAAGGACTTTATAGCTATGCCATTTGTAATCTTATAACGAGTGTTTCATAAACACTCTTTAAAAATTTTAAATAAAGAAAATATTATATTAAAATAACTCTTTATAAAGAAAAACATTTTTTATTGTTAAAAAAATCAATTATTTTAATTTTTAATATATTAATACAACTATTTTAATATATATATATATATATATATATATATATATATATATATATATATATATATATATATATATATATATATATATATATATATATATATATATATATATATATATATATATATATATATATATTTAAACTCTTAACGAGTGCTCCAAAACACTAGTTAGCATTTCTCTATTTTTTATTTTTACAATTTTTAAAGTAAAACTCAATATTGAAGAATTGTAAAAAAAAAAAAAAAACAGTCATGAGTTTCTTTTTTATTTGAAAACTCTTGAAAGCCAAAATATAATTTTTAAAAATAAGTTTCAATTTTGAACTCATTTCCCGTTACTTATCTAGAATTTGAAGTTGTTTAGAAAAAAAACTTAGATATAAAAAAACTAAAAACATTAAAATTAAATATATTTGTGATTCTTTTAAGTATCTCATATTTTACTTTTAGTTTTTCAAAATGTTTGTTTTAAAGATGGCAAAATACTTTTTTTGTCTCATAAATACACCTCGGAGTTCATTCAAATCTCTTATCTTTAAAAAGTTTCAAAATAGTCTTTTAATTGTTCAAACAATCTAGCTTACAAGTAATAACTAATTACCGGTACACCACTTTACAATTGATATTTATTATTTCAAATCAGTTTTATTAATTTGAAATAATAAATATCAATTGTAAAATGGTGTAGTGGTAATTTGCTATTACTTGTAAGTTAGATGACATGAGCTTGAATCCAAGCTAAATCAAAAAATTTAGAATATTTTTTCAAAATATTAATGACCTTAAAGATGAATGTGTATCAAGTCAAGTGAATCTCTTTTGGACCCTTCTATAATTTAAAAATATTTTTTTATAACTTAGCGATAATTTTAACGATAATGTCTAATTAACTATGTTTTTAACCGAAAGAACGAATATTAGATAAAAATTTAGAAAAATCATTATTCAAAAAAATTATAAAAATTAAAATCGTATTCAAATTATTTATAAGGATGAAAATATATTTAATAATCTATTTCAATCAACTTTCAACGAAAAAGACAAAGTCCATCAAACAACAATAAATTTTGCTTTTATGTCCTTTATTGCTATTATTTTATTTATTTTTCTATCCATTTGATATTAATTAACTAACCTCTCCCTATATAAGTAATTTATTTGGAGAATTTCTTTGATCACCTTTATATAAGTAAAACACAAGTGTGAAAACTTTAAAATATCTTTCTATGCATATTCAAACGAAATTCAATATTTCATTTTTAAGGAATTTTTTAATATAAATATTTGAAATAAGCTAATATTTTAAATTTATTTTAATTTTATTTTGAAAAGATATTTATTTATAATATAATTAAATATAATTAAAATAAATTATTATTAATAAAGAATAATTTAAATTTACAATTGAAAATTAAATATTAAAATAAATTTATAATATGAAATTAAACAATGAATACAATAATTAAATTTTTAATTACAATGGTGAAATATAATTATTTTTTATTTTTTATTTAAAATTATAAATAATTTTTGGATAAAAATATAAGAAATATTTTTTAATTATAACTTTAAAAGTTAAATTTAATTTAGATGACACTTTTATTTAAAAAAAAAATTGATATTTCTAATTAAACTTCTTTTTTAGTTTTTATTATAGAATTGATAATTAGTATTAAATTGTAATTAAAAAATTTATTATATTAAAAATAAATTTATATTATAATAAAAAATTAAATGTTATTAATAACTAATAATATTAAAATACAATATTTAATATTAAATGAATGGATAACATGTTAACTTGATAAAAAAGGATGAATAATTTATAAACTATAAGGATTATATATATATATATATATATATATATATATATATATATATATATATATATATATATATATATATATATATATATATATATATATATATATATATATATATATATATATATTTTAACAAATTTTAATTAAAAAATAATTAAATATATTCTAAGGTGCACGTTATTAAAATTGATTTTCTTTGACAAGTAGTGGCAGAGCATTTTAGAAGATCCCAATTTGGGTGTCATTTTCCTCCACTTACAACGGTAGACGTTCTCAGGGTAATGTAAATTTTTAGGATTTTATTTTTATTCTTTTGATATGTGAACTGTGTATTTACTTGACCATTTTGATTTTGATTCGAGATTGATTTTATTTTGATTTTCGATTTGATTTGACATGGTGAACTGTTTTGATTTTGATTATCAACTATTTCAGTACAAGTTTAGTAGAATGCTGGCTTCCGATGAGAATTTGCGATTCCTTTATGGTGACACTCGGGATAATGTGGTTTCGGGTTTAATGTTGGAAAAAGAGGCTTCTGATCTGGGTGTCACTAAATGATTTTTTGAGTTGATTGACTCATTAGGTTGAACATATGAGTTTATTTCAACATGTTCAAGCAGCAGTTACAATGGTGGTGAAGGCGATGAAGACGATGATGATGATGCAAACGATGATGCTGATACAGACGAAGATGCTGAAGATGACGACGGCGGTGAAGATGTTGAGGCTGGTGTAGAAGCTGAAGATGGTGAGGACAGTGACGGGAGTTAGGACGATGACGGTGGGTGGTGTGATTGCAGTGAGGAAGCTTTGGGAAATGCGGTGAAGAAAGTAGTGTAAAAAGATGAAGGCGACCAAGCAATTAATTAGAGTAAAGTAATATTAGGAAGAAAAAAGGGTTAATTAGAGGTAGGTAATCAGAAACAAAACTTAGTATGTGGCGAAAAAAAGGTTACACGTAGTACTTGCTATAGTTTATGGCTATGCCTATATTAAGACTAACTCGTTATATTTGGAGATAGATCTGCAAATAAATTTGCATTTAATTTACATTTATTTTGTATGAAAATAATACATCCGGAGATGTATCTCTGAAAACTATAGATATTTTTTACTTTTCAATAAAGATGGAAAAAAATTGTTTAAATTTACCATAGATCAGACCTTCTAAGACCTAATTTAACCTATTTCCACCCATGATATGTACAATTACATGATATGTACAATTCATAATGAATAAGTACAATTCATTATGATTATCCTTCTAATCTAGTAAAGTAAATTATTTACAATAAAGACAAAGATTAATTTCTGATTAACACTAATATCAATGTCAAAATTTTGAGCCATTTTTTTAAAACTTTATAAGATTCAAACTAAATTTAAAAAATAGGGATCAATTTGCGAAATTTAAAGAAAATTAAGAATTAATTTTCAACTTTTTGAAATTTTTTATAAATCAATTTTACTGTTTTAAAAAATATAATAAATCAATTGCAAAATTTAAAATATTGTAAGGATCAATTTGATATTCACATTTCCATGTATCATTTAAAACTCCATAAATTTAACTGCAAAAAATTCTATAAATTCTTATAGTTTTGAAATTCCTCCAATGTTTTAACAATGAAATTTACATAGAGGAATTTGAATTCCCTCAAAAAAATAGCATTCCCTCGGTCCAAATACATTCATAAGGAGACGGCATGTTGATTTTGTGGAGGAATGTACTTGAACGAGAGATACAAAAGAGAAACAAAAATAGAAAAACAGAAACCAAAGTATTTGCAGAAAATTAACTCAGATTTTTCTTTCTTAATTGAGTCCCCATTGTAATTTGAGTCATAACAATGAAATGGAACTGAGCGATTTAATATTTCTGGCAGAACACCTTAAACCTCCAATGGTATGGCAGATTCAAGCTTCAAACGGTTTAATCGGACAGTTCCAAGAATGTATTCTGGCAGCTCCGCCTCTTCTTGTGCCTGCAAATATAACATCAGTCAATATCTGAAATATTTGAGAAGCATATACTGATGAAACACGGTTCACGCGTATCTCTGAATACTTGCCACACAACATTAAAATGTAAATAGTAAACACAATCGAAGCAAGAAATGACATGCACCAAGAAGCCTAAGATATAAAAGCTGCAAGCCTTTTGCTTGTTATTGCTCTAAGGAAATGAAAAATTTTGGGGGAGGGGGAGTTCAACCGGTTTGAGCTAGATGTTGGTACATTGTTCAATCCCCGACGGCAACATTTATTTTGTATTTCTCATTAAGTATTAATGTAAACAATTTGATACTTATAAATCAACAACTATAGAAAAAAAAATGATAGACAACAAATTCAGCAGTTGTTGATATAATCAGTTCCAGCCATTCCCTTCTAGAAATATACAGGTTTTGATATAGTTAGTTTTTCATTTTATGTATTTTTAACATAATTATGGTATATGCCTGCTAAGCTATCTTTTTGCCAACTAAAAGATAACTTGTGAGTATGTGGTAATTACATATTATGATGACGTATAAAATTAATACAAAAAAGGAGAGAACGCATTTGAGAAGAGATCCAAATTCCAATTTCTCTTCACATATTAGTACATGGGAATTCCCTTTATATGATCAAGAGCTTGGTACTGAATAGAAGTCATAAGAATTGCATAAAAGCACAGTTCCATAAAATCACAGCTACCGTTTTTTCCGCCAAATATCAAGTCTGTATCAAAAGAAACTAGGGAAGACGAAACTATTAGTAGATAGTTTGTCCAGAGGCAGAAAGGCACAAACCTCTATCAAAATGGCAAGGTCGACGACTAGGCTTGTAACATATCCTAGAACAAGGCCAATGACACCTCTAGCTACAGAGGATGATCCAATGTCCACGTCAATCTGCATAATACAAAAAAATTACCTTGAAAGTTTAATCTTTTTTGACAGATGAAAGTCAAATTTATTGGACATATTATAGCACAATTTCAACAAAGTTGAATTGGGAATTTACAATGATTAGCAGAATTCAAATTTAAAAAAACACATGAATGTTTAAGTTTAGTAAGCAACAGCATGGTGCATGCAATTTACATGGGATACCTGAAATTAACCTAATATTAATAACAATCCCAATCCATTTTATATTACATGGTCCCTATATGGTGTTAAACAAGCACCTTGGACTTGGTCCGAAAGATATTATGCATTGTTGCAACTTGGGTTCACTCCTTGTAAATGTGATCCTTCTTTGTTTACACTTCATGGTATTGTTCATTATCTACTAGCCTTACTCTACGTAGATGACATTATCATGATTGGGATTACTAAGCTCAATTCACCGCCCTCTATCCAGCAACTTGGTCAGCTTTTGACGATTTCTTGGAGATTGAATTATAACATATTAATGATGACTGCTGACCAAGTCCAAATACATGTGAGACTTGTTTGCTAAAGCAAATATGGCCACTACAAAAGGAATTTCTACTCCTATGTTACCCAATAGTACAATACTACATTCTTGCATCAAACATTAGGAGCTTGATATTTTTTTGTCAGATAAAAGATTCTCAACAAAAGCTTGTCAGTTTGCCATATTCTTGCACGAGATTAGTGGGCGACATCCTAACAAAGGCTCTGTTTTAAAGCTAACTCTTGGTTACTCACCCTTAGTTTGAGGGGAGAATATTAGAAGAACATTTATGCATTTGTACTTCTTTAGTTGTATTTCTCTTGTGGTTCCTATTAAAAAAAATATGCAAAATGGGCCTGGGGATTAAAGCTCGGCTTTCCGGACCCAAAACTAGATGCCCTCAGGGCCTATTTGGATTGATCTATTTGAGCTTATCTACTCGCGTAAGTTCTTTGAGACGTTTGAAAGAACTTAAAAAAACTTATGATATTGTTCATAAGTAGTTTTCAGTTTATTTTCACAAGTTCTCCAAGATAACTAATGAAAACAACATATAGCTTAGAGCCTTATACGAAAATAATTTAACTTTATTTTATCTTTTGCTATAGAACTAGATTACATAAGTGCTTGTGTTGTCATATGTAAATAAGATATTTATCCAAACAGAGCCTTAGTGTTCTGGGACAAGTTTAATGTGGCTTAGTAATCAGAATCAGTTAGTAACAGAATCTGACAGCTTAAACGAACAGTTATCATTCTAACTGTAACCTTGTGTATCAATTTAAAATAAAATCTTCATAATTAAGAAAAACCAGTTTCAGATTCTACCGAGTTCTCTCTTCAGTTTTATTTCTCTTTCTGTCGTCTTCTCACACCTACTTTAGCCAAAGTAAAATGGAGAAGAAAGGCCAAGATATTACCTCCAAAAAGTTATCTTGTCTGAAGTATTTACAAGTCACAGCTTTACCTAACAGGCAAGCTTTGGTTCCAACAGCCCTCTTGACCATCCAATATCCCTATGCCCAATTGAAAAGTATTAGCTACTCAAAGACATAAGGCATCAAACAGAGCATATATATATATATTTATTTATTTATTTATTTATTTATTTATAACTTCTCATCAAGAATCGCACACCTCGACTATACTTGGAATAAGTTTGAATGTTGAGTCCCGAAACACATCACTTCCGTCAACAAACTTAGCCAACAGAGATTTTTTATTTATCGGCCTATCAGCTGCATAATATAGAACCAGACTGTAGTTTGGTTTAGCAGGAACCTGAAAATTGAATATAAAATGAAACAAAAGGAAATTTCCGTGAGAAACTGGTTTATACACTTAAACTATAATTTTCAGAGAGGAATCATACTTGCTCTTATTCAGATGGAGTCATACGATGCTATGATAAAAGGCAGAGTGGGTTATGAAATACCACCCAATCTACTACAGATTGGGAAAATAAGGGATAAAAACATACTTATTCCAATGCACTAATCTTCCCTCAATTTGGTGCAGTTAAAACATTTGAAATTCTAAATTGCTTAAGTGTTGATAGGCACCAAAGCCCCACAACCACCACCCCTTTCCAAAATAACATGACAATCATTCTGTGCTTTGTCTACATATAAAAAGCTGAATTGAGTGCAATATGTAAGATTGCCTAATTATCAAAATGAGACTCGTGGATAATCAAGGACCTAAGAATGAAAATCAGTCTATCTGTGTTGTCAGTACATGAAAAGTCAGACTGGATGCGATATTTAAGATGGGCCATTTCAAAAAACTAAAGTTTAATCAAGTCCTAAAAAATGATTTTTTCACTCAAAAGTCTCAACATGTTTAACATCCTTTTGCAACAATGTGTAAGTGTGTGGGTCAGCAACAACAATAATGGTATCCATACCTGGAGATTGATGACAAGGATAAATGGAAGCTTTTTGGCAACTTCTGACTGAAATTCAGAGGGAAAGTATTAGCCAGTGCAATAATAATATAAAATAAATTAATAATCTCACAATCTCCAGCTTATGGTTTCTAGAAATCAAGATGAAATACACAAACAATTCCAACCACACAAATGTTAGCATGCACTGGATTAAAAGGCTTAAAAAGCAACAAAATAACATTATTTAGGCATTTGCATAAAAGATACAGTTCTGCGAAAAATGTAAAAAAAAGGATGTAGGAGGAAAAAAAATGTAAGATTTTCATGATTGAAGAAATCTACAGGTTTAGAGAATTTGCGAGAGAAACAGAGAAATCTTCTTCGAGTTTGTGCCATATTTTGCGTCCACCCAAATCACTCCGGAATCCCTTCAGGAAAGTACTCCCACACCTCTTCCGGAAGTCCCATTTCCCATTATCCCCCATCATTCTAGGGAACCTGTCCCACGAGAAACCCCTACGGTTGATCCCCCCACTTCTCGCCCACTTCAAACATATCAACGTCGTAAACCAATGCCTGTCATACCTGTCCCTGAGGTTTCTACATGTCCCTGAGGTCGTACCTATCCCTGAGGTCATTGCAGACACTCCTCCGACGCTATCGCCATCACCGGATTCGATCCTGCAACCTGTTTGGTCTTCCGATTGTCCTTCGCAAAGGTATACGTCAAATACGAAACTCTTCTCCACATTATATTGATTTATATTATCGTCGGCTTTCCCCTTTGCAGTATACTTGTTTGTCCTCTGTCTTCTGTTTCTATTTCTAAATCTCCAGGTGAAGCATTATCTCACCCTGAGTGGAGGCATGAAATGTGTGCTCTTTAAAGCAGTGGTACCCGGGAACTGGTTCCTCTACCCACTGGAAAATCTTTAGTAGGTTGTCATTGGCTTTATACAGTGAAGGTTGGTCCAGATGGTAAGATTGATCGTTTTAAAGCTTGCTTGGTAGCCAAGGGATACACTCAGATTTTTGGGTTGGATTATAATACCTTCTCGCCTGTAGCCAAGATGGCATCTGTTAGACTTCTTCTAGTCATTGCAGCCATTCGACATTGGCCTCTTCATCAACTTGACATCAAAAATGCATTTTTACATGGTGATCTTGAAGAGGAAGTATATATGGAGCAACCACATGGGTTTGTTGCTCAGGGGGAGTCATCGAATATTGTTTTTAGACTACACAAGTCTCTTTAGGTCTTAAGCAATCTCCGAGAGCTTGATTTGGTAGATTCAGCACTGTAGTACAACAATTTGGTATGGTCCGTAGTGAAGCTGACCATTCTGTCTTTTATTGTCACTCAGCCCAAGGGTGTATTTATCTTATTGTGTATGTAGATGATATTGTCATAACTGGTAGTGATGAGTCGGAAATACTCTAGTTGAAACAATATCTTTCGAATCAATTTCAGACAAAGGATCTTGGTAAATTCTGGTATTTCTTGGGTATTGAGGTAACCCAATCTAAAGATGGTTTGGTGATTTCTCAGCGGAAATATGCTATTGGATATTTTGGAAGAAACAGGTTTGTTGAACGCTAAACTAGTTGATACTCCTATGAATCCAAGTGTCAAACTACTACCCAATCAGGGAGAGCCTCTATCAGACTCGGGAAGGTATAGGAGATTGGTTGGAAAGTTGAATTATCTCACAGTCACTCGTCCAGACATTTCTTTTGCAGTCAGTGTGGTAAGCCAGTTCTTAAATTCCCCTTGTCAGGAACACATGGATGTTGTTATCTGAATTCTAAGATACATCAAATGTGCACTAGGAAAAGGTTTAGTGTATGAAGATAAAGGACATACTCAGATAGTTGGATACTCTGATGCTGATTGGACAGGGTCACCAATTGATAGACGATCCACCTCTGGGTATTATGTACTTGTTGGAAGAAACCTTATATCCTGGAAAAGTAAGAAACAAAATGTAGTTTCAAGATCAAGCGCCGAGGCAGAGTATAGGGACATGGCAATGGCAACATGTGAACTCATTTGGTTAAAACAATTGCTCAAAGAACTTAAAATTGAAGAAGCAAGACCAATGACACTTGTATGTGATAATCAAGCTGCATTGCACATTGCTTCAAATCCAGTCTTCTATGAGAAGACCAAACATATTGAGATAGACTGCCACTGTCAGAGAGAAGATTGAATATGGCGACATCGTCACAAGCTTTGTCAACTCTAATGATTAATTGACAGATGTGTTCACAAAATCTCTGCGAAGTCCCGGAACTAATTATATATGTGACAAGCTTGGTGCATTTGACTTATATGCTCCAGCTTAAGGGGGAGTGTTGATATTTGTAAATATATAGTGTTAAGAATATTTGTATGTAGAATAGTCTCACATCGATTATATCGTGTAATTAGTTGTAATCTCTCTATATATATAATAAAGTCTCCGTAGTACTTTTAAGACACACGGTTTAACCTAAATGTCTCTTAGTCTCTCCTAATTCAATAATCTGATTTCTGATTTTTTTAATGTCCTGATTCTGATTCTTTGGATGAGAAAGCTTAACATCAAGCCTAGATTTTGATACAATGTCAATGCAAGCCACTGACAGAACGATCTAGACACAATACCGACTAACTTATTAACTGCTATTGTTAGCTATTCAAGTCAGCTAATACTTAAACCAACTTAGCACTCTAGTGAAATAAATTCAAGCTATAAGCAACAAGGAATACCAATAATATGACAGTATCTTGGGAAATCAATTCAAATTTCCAAATAAATGCGAGTGGAAATTTAAGAGGTACGCTCTACGAATGAATGTATCTAAATTTGAAAACACTACCATCATTAAAAGATGTTACTTGGAGAATGAGACAATTAATATCTACAGATACATTCATGAAAGGAAGTCATTGTCCTCTACTATAAACAAGAGGACTTATATATATATATATAGCTTGTAACACTATAACTCTAATTTATCACAAAAATAAAACGGACCATAGTTGCTCTATAGTCGCAGATTTAGGCACCATAGGCACAATAATAAATACTAAGGATATTCTAATATCCTTCGACAGTGAATAACCTAACACCTTAGGCACAATGAAAATATCCAGCTCCATATGTGTCAAGCCATGGACATCAAAGAAGCACAACCATGCAGGAAATAAATGATATGTTACATAATTACTTAGAACAGTGAAACTATACCAAACTTGGTCGTATAAATAAGACAGTGACAAACTGAGGTATAAAAGCTCCAATGGATAAGGAGTTAATAAAGGCTTTATCAAACACACTAATTTTTACCTTAAACAACTATTTCTGCAGCAGTAGAAACAAGAGAATCTCAATCCTTGGGTTAATTGGTGGTTTAGCAAAGTCATTTAATAATATGTCCAAAGCAACTGAGCATCATTCCCCAAGGATACTTTACAATGATATATTTGAGTATTAAAGAGATAAAATCTTGAAAATTTAAAGCTACCTGAACCAAACACTTAGGATGCAGGGCAATTCTATCGACAGATTTGTTGACTGTAAACCAATCTACTGCTATGAGCTTGAGAAGAGGATCTCCTCCAACTACCTGCATGACAAATTTTGTGAGAGGCAACGGAACGTAAATTGCAAGAATGTAAAACGCATTCAGCAAGGACAAAAGAAAGTAATGTATGGGCAAAAACTATTCAAAAGTACAGAAAGATCTTAGTTTAAAGAACATAGTTTTAAAATTAAGAGAGGTTGATATATGAACTTGCAACAAAAAAATAAAATAATGCAAGAGTTTAAAAGCAGGGAACCTGAAACCCCTAATATACTTCCACTAGTAGATTGAAGCACATGCAGGCTATTTAGACATTGCTTATCAAACATTAAAAAAAAAACAGGTTGTTGTTTCCCCTATAACCGAATAACTTAAAGGGTCAACTCACCTTAGAGTTATCTTTAAGATAGTTCTTTCCTCTAATCATAAATCCTTTTCCACTAGGAGAAGTCCAACAGTTTGTGTCCTTGTCATCCATTCCTTTGCCCAAAGAACCATGTATATCGCTCGGATGGAACGTGATAGGAGTGACACGAGGATCCAGTTCTCCGCTTAGATCAGGAGCTGCATGCAATGACCAGGTATAAAAGACTTAATACTGAATGAAACCAAGAAGTTAAGAAGTGGCATGAAACTCTTACGAGTTCCTTACAAATGACAGAATGGTTTGTTCATTTTCACTATTCAGGTGGATTGTTTATAGGTATTATCATGAACCAACTATCCCAAAAGCTTAACTTGTAAGGTGTAGCACATGAGTAATTTAATACTTTAACAAGACATCTCACACAATAGCTCCTTGGCCACAAAACATGGATAATGTACAAGTCTAACCTACATCGTGCTGAAATTTGGGTTCTCTTACTTTCTAACAATATTTACAGTTTTCACTTTGTATGCGGGTATCTGGACTGATGGATATGGATTTTTCTTTTAAGATAGTGAGAGAGAAAGGATATAATCTAACTAGAGAGAATGCATTTCCAAAAACGACAAAAAAATTGTAAATTTTCAAAATTTTAAAAAGTTCTCTACTTATTTTTAAAATACATTTTCAAAAACATTTCACAATGTCTTCTCTAATCTTACTATCAATTTAAGAATTTTAATTTCATAGGTTATAATTCTATCCATCACTCAAATAATTAAAATCAATTTTTGGGAGCAAATTAGTCATTTTAATATTTTACTTTTCATTATTTATTATTTTTCCATTTCACTTCTTTCTTACTTTTTCATTTTTTTAATGATTTTTTTACTTTCTCGTGTCCTCTCTCTCACTTTTTCATTATTTATTATTGTTTTCTATTTTCACTTTTCTCTCTTACTTTTCAATTTGTCTACTTTCTTTCATCTCTCTTTTAACTTTACTCCTCTCTCCTCTTTTAATTTCACATTTTAAATTTAAATTATATCTCTTCTGATCTAATATATCAATCTCACTTTTCCAATTCTCTATTTATTATTTAAATTATATTATCTCCATATTTTCACTCTTATCAAAGCATGTCCAAACATGCGAATGCACGGGCCTCTTGCCAGTATTTATTTATTTATTTATTTTATCAGTGGGAATGGAAACAAAAAACACCACCAGAAGTAGCACTTAACTTCTGTTAAGAAGTAAGAAGAATGGAGGTAACAAGGACCAGACTCTAGACCCCATGTCTAAAAAGTATAACTTCATAAATTTGTATAAAGGTGAGAATGTAATCACTGGGATACTTGACAGAGCTCTAAACTTGAGAAGATCAATAATCCTTAAATAACAAGATCAAAAAGAAAAAAAGGAACATAAGTGCAAAAGAATAGTTCTACTTCTAAGTCTCACTCATAAATGAACTTCATATTATGGAAGGTTAGCTAGAATAGTTCTATGTAAATAGCCAGTTGGAATCATTTGTAACAGATTAACATTGACATATCTCAGTCTCACTCATATAATTAAATTCACTATTTTCTATGTATCTGTGAAATAAAACAAATCACCGTGTTCCTACCCAAGTTCTTTATTTTTCTGTCCTAGAAAGAGTAACTAATATAGTGTTTTAAGGAATATAACATAAAACCGTGTTACTGTGCACCCAAAGTTTAGTTGTAAAAGGTTCTTTTATCATTATGTAGTTCTAGTAAAGGGTAACCCAGTGCATGAGACTCCCATTATATGGGCTCTGGGGTTCGGATGTACCCAGCCTTACCACTGTTTTTTATAACAGAGAAGTTGTTTCTAGCAGGGTTCGAACCATGATCCCAAGATCGCAATAGAACAACCTTATCGTTGAACCAAGGCTACCCCTTTTAGTATTTAGTAAAAACTTTGTAAAAATTATGAGTAATTAATAAAAATTAGTGTTTTTTTCACCTTAATTCTCCTTTCTTTTCATGGTCTCTCCCTAAAAAAAAACTGCCATTTTAAAACATGGTATTACATAGATATCAATATTTCTGTCGGAATTTCCACCTTTATTGCGGTTTGTCCCAAGTCGCCTAATTGTGGCATTTGGCTTGCCTTCGTTGTAGCCTCCAATAGCTATATTGTGTTGGCTTTAAAGGAGATAGATTTAGTCCCACGTTGCTTAGAGATATGACATGTGTAGTATTTATAAAACTTGGACAATCCTCATCTTACAAGCTAGTTTTGTAAAGATAAGTTAAGTCCAACCCAAATTCTAAGATGGCACTCATAGATCCATTGTTGGGCTCTCTGCATCATCCATCGAGGCTCGAACGTGAGGGGGTTTGTTGGAATTTCCGCCTTTATTGTGGCCCACCCTAGTCGCCTAATTCTAAGATAATATTGGAGTTCCCAACTTTCCAAAATTTGGTCCGCTTTTATTTTTCCTAAATTAGAAACAGTTGGTTCATAGTCGCTCAACGTTCTTGGCAGCTGATCGGTTTTCTTTGGCATGCTAAAGGTGTTTTTAAGTGTGTTTGACAAATGATCAAAGTTCGATTTGAAGAGGCAGATATGTTCATTGGATAATCCAAGTACGTAGAACTAACTGTGCAGAAAATAACAATAGCTCTGGACCTTTAACCCTAGCAAATACCAAGCAAACAAAGGAAAAGCTGACCTGCAGTTCGCTTCAAAGCTAAGGATGTGATTGCCCATGAAACATTCTTTAATTTGACTCTTGACTCCTGATATATTGGATAGGATATTAAACAACCGAACTTAACAAAACAAATACATTCTTTATTTCTGATCAATCACACACAAAAAGCACTAATATCTATTGTAAACTACTTCTATAGTTGATAAGAAATGAGCAAACCTTCTGATCATGCTTCTCCTCGTCATCACTTTCTTCACCTGATGACGATGATTCAGCAGCAATTGCATCATAAAACTCATCTTGTACTTCATCCTCATATTCAGAACTGGAAATGGAAGAATCAGATATTTTAGAGTGAACTATTGTGGTGGCATTTTCTTGGTGGAGTGCTGGATTGGCTGCTATGTATTCCTTTAGACCTGAACCATTATTTAACAACATCTGTTTAATGTCTCTTGAATAGTAGTCACGGACAAATTGTTCAATATGAGAATATAAGGCACGTCAAAAGGGCATAGGAAGCAATTTTCTTTTCTTGCTTTGAATTTTAAAAGAATATGAATTTAACTACTATACACTGAACAATGTAAAACAGTCTTATACAAGCATCCAGTCATATATCACTGTAGATATTTGTGAAGTGTACTTGCGGAAAATACAATAAGGTATGCTGAATATTGGAATAGTGAATGAATCCTTCCAACCCAACTGTTTGGCTATGGTGTGGGAATAGGAAGACTCATTCTTCCCCATGAATAGGAGGAACGGTTTCTTCCTTGGAGAAGTGGCTATGGAGGAACGGTTTCTTCCTTGGAGAAGTGGCAACAACGGTCCTTTCACAGGGACACGTGGTCTGCCACATACTCAAAGAATTATCACTTAACGACTTCCAGTTTGGGCCGGGTACCCCTGCCTAAATGGACTGGTTCGGGCCGGGCGGTCTCAGAAACAACCACGTCACGCCCGCCCGACTTTTCCTCTGACCTCTTGCATTGCTCTTAGGCCAATTGGCTCATGTGCTGGTCTCTTTCATGGCCCAATTAAGGTTCCCAATCCATGAAGATATTTTAGGAAAATGTTGGAAAACCCGCCATAACTGCAACAACCTCCACGGTCTAATGTTGGGCCACTTTATTTGCCTTCTTGCAGCGGTACGACACCAATAGTTTGAAGGGTTAAGTGGGTGGATTTAGTCCCTCATCACATAGAAATATCAACTTTGTAGTGCTAGAAGGCGTGGACAGTCTTCCCCTTACGGTGCTATAAGGATGTAGAGTGAGAGATATCAGCAAAGACCTTACAGTTCTACAAGGAAGGATGTGGAGTGAGAGATACGAGGAAAGAAGGTATTCGTGTACGCAACAGAGATAGAGGAATTGAAGGCTTGGTGCTCCTTATACCACTTGAGGAAGTCAGTAAACATGGCCGGCCAAAGGTGAGGGAGGATCCAAAGGTGGCATAGTGACGAGATTTTCCTAGTTTGCAAGATTGACCATGACGGCCACTGTAGGTGACCAAAGAAATGGAGTCAATAGGTACAAGAGGAATGTCCATATCTGAAGAAAGTTTTGTTGATGCAAGCAGCAAGATACACCATACAGACTTCAAAGTGAGTAGGTTTTTCCACGGATAAAAGATCTACTTCCACTAGTACAAAAATAACAATAGAATTGAAGATATTACACCAATTTTATTAAAATTGTGTAAAAAAAATAAAATGGTGGCAGTTTTGTAAATAAAGTTTCATTTTAAGGTTTAATGCGTAACAATACACACCCTATTTTAGAAAAACGGGAGTAAAATTAAAATCTACTTGTGTTGGTAATAACATGATATCTAGGAAGAGCAAGAAGCAGAATGCTGTGACAATATCAAAGGATGAAGTAGAATATCAAGACTCGGCTTTAGCCACTTGTAAACTTATATGACTCAAACAGTATCTTAAAGAACTGAGTATTGGGCACGTCTCACAAGCATTGCTCATTAGTGATAATCAGGATGCCTTGCATATCATCTCAGATCCAACATTCCGTGAGAAAATGAAACACATTGAGATAGATTGCCAATTCATTAGGGAGAAGATCTTATCAGAAGACAGTACAACGAACTTTATGAATTCAAATAACCAATTGGAAGTATTCACTGAGTTATTTAGAGGTCCTCAGATTGATTACAAAGAAAGCTCGATGAATTTGATTGATATGCTCCAGCTTGAGATGAAGTGTTAGAATTACTGTAAATGGGTAATTATAGAGTTACACCAATTACGGATTGTTAAATCCTTGTATTTATTATTGTATATGTAATTAGTTTAGGCCAAACACACACAACAACAAGCAATTAGTTTGGGCACATATTTTTAATAATCTCAACTGCCAGAAATTCTAGACACTAGAGAGATGTAAGAAGAAAAAGATAGCTCAAATACTTAACCTGCCACTTGGCACAGTAACGCATAAGAAATGCTCCTCTCAAATTTTGAGCACTGTTTGTTCCTCCATCGATTCCAGGATGCAGAATGTATTTCTAAAGTGTGGGTCACTAGACATCTTGGACTATTTGATGCCATAGGTGTGTTTAAATTTCTGATCTCCCAAGTAGATGCTGCAGCCAGAATACAAAACACGGGGATAAAACTAGTCAATGATTAAGCCCAAAATAGAGACGTCAGTGGCTATATTTTCTCTATGTTGTTTTTGAAAATATTATAACTTCATATTCCAACAACTGACTGCAGCTTCTGAAAGAGCACAAATACCAAGCACCACTCTACTAGTCAATTCCTAGGATTTAATGCAAAAAAAGTGTCATCTTACGATTAATTTTTGCACGTCGATAACCAGATCTTTGAGGCTTGTTCTTATGTATAGCTGGAAATTGCAAGATTGCTGCATGGATAAAATACATGGAGCACTTTAGCGTATATTTCCAAGTTGAAATACAGCATGATTTCAACTAAATAGAAAACAAATCCAATAACCACTGATAAAATGGTAATGACTCATGTCATAAATGTTTCAACTGCCACCATAGTAATACCAGCCATTTCTTATTAACTCAACAGGAAAATGAAGAACATAACACTACAATACAAGCAATGAAAGTAAATGACCATATTCTTACTGTATGCTCCGTCTTGTCCACGAAACCATTGCCTAGAGAAGACAAAATCTTGCTTTGGATGCCACCTGGGTTATGTTTAAAAGGTAATTGATGAATAATATTCCAAAAAGTAAAAGATGTTAAAACATATTAATAATACAATATTTGAAGACAAAGAAGTGAGAAAATTGTAGCTATTTTACAACCAAAATTTCATCACAGCTAACTATAGCAAGGTCCGATCCTAAAACACAAATACACAACCAATAAGTTATCCCGGGGCTAATATGAAGAATTCTACATAACAGAAGTCAAAGTCAATGGAAAAAATCAAGTTAGCCTTAGCTAGTGTACACAAATTGTTATCAATGAAAAATAAATACTTTGTATACACAAATGAGAAATGATAGAAATTTTAATTTTACAGAACAGAACAGAACATCCTATTACCGAAATCCAATTGCAATTATATTATGATTTTTTAAAGGGTTAACATCAATTGATTACCGGGATAGATACTTAGGATCATATGTCCCGTAAACAACGTCATAATGTCCATCATTAGAATCTACACGCTCTAAGTCACAAAATAACATATCCCACCTGCAAAAAATACAATTTTTGAAGAGATTAAAAGCCAATTTAGTTTGGGAAAATACTTTTCTGCTTCTGTTGTGGTGTACTTATATATTGATAATTATAAAAACTAATATTGTTCAGTTTATCCTGTTTTCAAATATTGTATAGGATTAGGAAATAGTGAAACAAATTTATGAAGATAGGAAAAAGTAAAACGAAATGACATTTTTGGTAATTATTAGTGAAAATAAGAAATGGAAACAATAAACAGACATTTTTTCCAAACCATGCAGACCCTAATTTTCCCAATAAGTTACCAAAAATTCAATAAGTTTTTAGAGATTACGTACTCGTATCTTTTTTGTCGTTCAGTATTGAAAAGCACTTCAAAAACAGTATCTGCAGTTGCATCAATAACACCAACAGACTTTGCAAGAACACCCTTACCATTCTACAAAGAACAAAAAAATAACACATTAGAAATTAGTTATATCATAATGAAACAAAGCACTAACTCTATTATTTTAAATGTGACAGAAACATATCAAAGATTTTATACAATACTTTCCTATTAACATCGTGGAAACATATAAGTCACTTCATTCTCCACTTACAGGACAACAATATACACAAAGATGTACTTTTAAAAATAACTTTTGTACAGTATAACTATGAGTAAATACCACTATTTGAAAACTTTGTCAAACTCAATTTCACAAATTCATAATAGGAAGAAAAGAAAACAATTTTTTGATATATTTAGAGTTTGATTTATCTCATCCCTACAAACTGATATAAACTTTTATTAGAGTTTATTTTTAACCTATGTGGGACTTGGGTTTTTGAAATTGTGTTTTTTTATAGAATGATAAATGAATGTTTATCATTACTATATTTTTAATTTTCAGAATATTATAACAACATAAAATATATTTGAAGAATTTATGCAAGCCCTCAAAACCCTCTTCCAATATAAATTTTGAGTCCCCCCAAATTCGGGAAATTTTGTGTTATGAATAAAAACAAACACTCCAAAATCCTCCCAACCAAAATCCTTAAATTCTCTCCCCACTTTATCCTTCCCTTTTTTCAAAGTCCTCCTCTCTCTTCCCCCTCCGAACTCTCAAACAAAGCCTTAAAGTCCTTTAGCAACATAAAACTTGTACGGTGAATTTGATCGGGAAGTCTGTTCGATTTACTATAAATGACTATTGATCCTGATTTGCCGGTAACTAGCCATCTATGTTATAACTACAAATGATAGTTGTTGATACGTACAGCGATGCACCAGAATAAATCTTTTTTTCAGCAACTTATGCTGTTCAGGTTTCACAAACAAAATATTGACAGAGAGAAATAATTAGTGGGTAATAGAAGAATCAGTAACAAGACAACTATTATACTCTTATAACTCCTGTTAAAAGGATAGACACGAGTGGAAAGCTAAGTAGTTTTCAAGATATGTTTAATAATATGTATCACCCAGGAGCCTCCCCCGCCCAAATAAGAGAACTTTATACATACCTTGTGATCAGAAACATCCTCAAAAATTCTAATTCCTGAAACCACAAACAAAAAGTATCTAGAAGGATAAGGATATATCCAACAATTGTTTTTTTTATATCAAAACTAATATGAACAAGAACTACGAGTAGGAAAAAAGAAAAACCATAAGCAAAAGCATCATTGTGTGTTAAAAGAGTCTAACAACCAAATCATGCAGCAAAAAGACAAATTATATACAACTACTCAAACTTTCATGTCCCAAGTAAATAATGATCTTCTTCCTTTGAAGAGTTTTTTTTTTTTTTTTCCTTCTTCTCTCTTTCCAGATAATTGCAAATTTTCTGCAAGGAAAAGAGAGAAAAGAGAGCAAAAGAGGTGGGAAAATACCCTCCAAAGTTTTTCCCATTGAATTGTTTGATTACCCGGATAATACTATTATCAGTTCAGTGTCCCGACCTTTACATCATCCTCTTTTAAGACCATGCAGTTGAAGTAATCATGATAAATTAAATGCTCTTTAATAACACATTTGCATTCTCAACTTAGACTAACTAAAAAAGAGCCTTTATAATAGTTTTTGGATGCATTTAAATTAAAATATTTTATCAGTAAGGAATCACTAAAAAGGAAAAGGGTATTAGCGCAATAAACTGCCACTGCCTAGTAATAGGCTACAAAATAGTGTATGTTTATGACAAGAAAAATACCAGCCACAGTAAGAACACATCTCCATTGATGTGCTTCAACTGTGTCTCCATTATCCCCTTCAAACCCGTCTGCCCTACCAGCCAACTTTGACGATTGCCGTAACAGTGTCTCTGGGCCTTTCAGAAAGACGGAGCAAGAGTAAGTTAAGAGAAACACATACAAGAGTTTAAAAAAATAATGCAGCAACCAGAAAATAGCAATCAGAAAAGAAACCTGGGATTCCTTACATAAATATAAATAAGATAGAATCAGAACCACATTTTCACAACTATCACTCCATAATTTCAGATCACATTGACTAAGATGCATTGTGGAACACATTATTCAATATATAAATTATAAAAAACAATGCCTCAAAAGCAATCCATGATGAATATCATTGATCAAACAAATTTTTTACCTTGACCAATTCTTATTAGCTTCTTTAATCCATGGGCATACCGCCTCACTCTAGGCCGGTGTCCTTCAAGATTGATCCTTCCAAAACATAAAGTGCAATGATGCATCATTTTATTGTAAATCATCTAATAAAAGGACAACCTAAAAGGCAGAACACCTAATAATGCACCCAACAACAACTATTCAGGTATTTTGTTAAGCATAACTCACAAGTCGCAAATTTATTAATCTGAACAAAAATATATAATTGTAAGTAATATTCCATGAAATTATTTAAATTTATCGTTGTTCATGGATTTCATAAGTAAAAATCAAAAGGAAAAAAAAGAAGAAAAGGACAGACAATATAAGGGGCCAAAAGCAATGCATTTCCCTGCTAAACCATTATTAATCATTTACCAATTACTATTGTTAACAAGACCATTAACTAATACTATTATATCACATATATTATTATGATGCATTAAAGATTGAAGGAAACAAAGCATACTCGGCATCCATGTTTAGTATGTCTCTGGCACTACCACCTTGGGACAATTCATACTCAGCCTGAAACGAGCATATCTCCAGTAAATTAAATTCATACGGAAATTATGGTAAATACCTTATAGTTTCATGACATCCCAGTTCTTTACACAAATGGAAAAGCTATAGAAAATTTCGAAACAGGAACTTCAATTCAAACCCCCTTCCCCCAGAAATAGACTTCCAATCTCAATCAGGCTAGGAAGGTAGCAATTACTAACACCAATAACAAATGCAACACAAGCATGCCTTCCTCTAGATATTTTATCATACCTGTTGCTTAGCATGATCAAATGCTTCTATCCATCCCCGGGCATCCCCAGCTGTAGCACAAGCAATCTTGATGAAAATGGACAAGAAAAATAGTTAATTATATGCTGAAAAATAAGGAAAGAACTATAAAACCCATGGCAATGGGGGTTCATTAAATTCTAAAAATCAGCTTCCAACACAGACAGAAAGATACAAATACATTTGTGTGTTAGAACGATTGTTCAATCAAGAAACTGTACAAACCGTTAATCGGGAAAATTCAAGGGCAAGTTTATATTATAAATTTTAAATCTAGGAACCTAGTTAATCGTCTTGATAGTTAATCGTCTTGATAGTACTCCTCGCAGCAAGGGTGGTAATAAATTTGAGGGCCAGTTTTATATTATAAATTTTAAATCTAGGAACCTAGTTAATCGTCTTGATAGTACTCCTCGCAGCAAGGGTGGTAATAAATTTGAGGGCCAGTTTATATTATCAATTTTAATCTCTGATAACATCAAGGGATAATTCAAAATAAGAAACTCTAGTTGTAAGTTTTTACTAGGGAAAATAACAACTTGAAGTGGTTATTCCGCAAAGTTTCATGTTGCACTTAAATTGGCTTCAGGAAACACTCTTGAGCGGCTATTGTTTCTTCATAAGTACTAACTTTATCGACATTTCTTGTTTTGGAACTGTCCATAAATTTTATATTATGCTGTGGAATTTGGCACATCCTTTTTAGCAAGACCATGAGTTAAAAAACCATGACGCAAGCATTGACTTGGCTTTGCCACGAGGTGTTTTCAATGATTTCTAAATCCCTGCAACTGTATATAAAGTTCACCTACATGGGTCTCGGTCTACAAGGTGAGACTCATTATGTTTTTTGCACTTAGAGCATGCAGGGATGTTAACAAATTACAACCCTGGCATTTAACCTGAACATGCAACGGGATAAGTATAAGTATTGTAAAACAGTCTTAGTTAAAAAATCTTATTATGCACCTAAAGCTTTGGAAGGGTGCAGTTAGGATGTAAATAGGCTAGGCCGAGCCCAAGTCTGGCCTAACCAAAAAATTCAAGGCCCAACCAAGTTCGTCTAACCAAAAAATTCAAGGCCGAATTCTAGCATATTACCTATCATAAGCTTCTTTTTGAAAGCTTGATATGGCTTGTAAGCTTACTTAAAAGCCTATTTCATACTAACGTCTTCAAATGAATAAAATGACATGTGTTTAACTAGTCTAATGGGCTAATAGGTCAATCAGATTAAGTTATATTTTGAGATTTAACATGATATTTAGACACTATGACTCTATGACAACCTTATTCCAATTCTATTTTATAATAATACATTTAAACGTGTCAAAAATTAATGTAAGATAATATGCTTTGTTAATAGTCCCATATTGGACAATATATGGCATGAACATGTCCTTATAAGTTGGGACAATCCTCACCCTACAAGTTGCTTTTGTAGGGTTGAGTTAGGCCCAACCACATTTATTAACATGGCATTAGAGTCTGCTTTAAGATTCGGTGGGCCTGCTATCAGGTTTCCGCTATCGGATCATTGGACAATATATAGCCAGAACATGTCCTTATAAGTGGGGCAATCCTCATCCTACAAGCCGGTTTTGTAGGATTGAGTTAGACCCAACCATATTTCTTAATATGCTTAACCTAATGAAAGTGTTTTTGGTAAAAAAAAAAGATCAAATTGATTAATGCAAAATACAAAATCTAATATAATAAGAATAGTTATAAAAGTAAATTATTGATATTTATTTAAGTAGGCCGGTCTTGTGGCCCTTCCTTTTTAGCTAAATAAGCTTTTTAAAAAGCCTTAGCCTTATTTCTTAATATATAGCCAGAACATGTCCTTATAAGTGGGGCAATCCTCATCCTACAAGCCGGTTTTGTAGGATTGAGTTAGACCCAACCATATTTCTTAATATGCTTAACCTAATGAAAGTGTTTTTGGTAAAAAAAAAAGATCAAATTGATTAATGCAAAATACAAAATCTAATATAATAAGAATAGTTATAAAAGTAAATTATTGATATTTATTTAAGTAGGCCGGTCTTGTGGCCCTTCCTTTTTAGCTAAATAAGCTTTTTAAAAAGCCTTAGCCTTATTTATTTTCTTAAGAAAAAGATATGGCCTGGCTTAGGCCTGAAGTAGGCTCGGGTGTAGGGCCCCTATCAGTCAGTCAGGCTTGTTTCCACCCTAGGTTCGGTGTTTTTTTCTAAGCAAAAGTTGAAAGAAACCTCGTGTTTCCTTAAAATGATTATCATGACTTGGCAGCTACTTTTACAGTAGCACCTTATGCTTTGGTTTTATATGTAGCAGAGTGAAACAAGTTACAAGATGATCGATGTTGAAAATTCTTCCCAACTGTTTTACCTGTTAAAAAGCATGCTGCATGGCAATGAGCAATCACTATAAAATATTATTAGACTAAGGAACTAAAAACTATAACTTACTTCTCCCTTTCTGGCCTCATCTAATCGATTGTAAAATCGTAAAACATAAAGATCCTGGGGAAGAAGACAAAAACAAAAAATTAGTTTTCATCATATTTATAAATTAAATGAAACAAGTACACTCCAATCACAAGATATTGTCATGACTTAAACCATAAACAGAATATTCCATTTCCATCAAAACCAGCACACAATCAGTTTAATTTAGTAACCACATAGATTTGTATGCAAGAACTTTACCCCATCATTGACTTTTCGCCGACCTAGCTCCTCCACCATTAGTGTGGGTCCTACAACTCCTTTCCTAATAGGTTTCTGCACATAGGAAAATTTTAACAGTAAGCATTCTACTGTTACAAAAAAACAGAGATAATAAAAAAACAAAACAGACAACTAACTATCAAGTGAAGTGGAACTACTCCAAATTTACAACCCACATTTAAAAGATTATTATTAAAACTAACAAGTATGCCTGTTCAATCATTATCAAAGGCGTATCTGACATGTCCAGACACCATGTATGTCTCTGCATCAATATCATATTAATATATTTCGGTATAAAAAACTAGGTTCAAAGCTCCTCTAAAGTGAGAATTTCACTTTAAATATTAAAGTGAGTAACACCAACCATCTATAAACAAATCAAAAGGTGTTATCTATGAAACACAGACACCTGAAACATGACATTGACATTTGACACTGGCATGTCGACTCCCATAATGATTTGAAAAATGAATCAAGTAAACGTAACGACAAGTGTCAATGTTGGTATCAGACACACGGACACACACATATATGCACACACATGTATAATAATTAGTTCAACTCTAAGATTTTCTCATTTTACTAACTATTCACTTTAGAATAGCCAAATCTACTAGCTAAATAGTGCTAGCAACTGAAAGCGTAACACGTTTTCGTCATAAAATAGTACAATTAGGAAGTAAATCATAAAATTAAACATTAAACACCGCCGTAATTAGCATTAAGTTGCGATCTAACTCCAAACACTATTCGGAATTACTAGTCGTTACTACCTCGGTGTTAATTAACAGTAGGCAATAATAATAAAGTAGGTGTAAAAAGAAACAGAAGAAACATACAATGGCGTGGTTTTCATGAGGATCACGCTTGTACATAGAAACATACTTTCCCCTAATGAAAAGGAATCGGAGATGACAATACTCACGACCAATTGAATTCACTCCCAAGTGATAAACCCAACCGAAAAACTCGAAAATTCCTCTATCTTTATCTTCGCCGCCACCTCGCTCCGATCCTCCGCTACCTGATTTGTTCAGCTCCGAAGCGGTTGCGTCGTTCATCGCGCGACGCAGTTAAGTCTTGATCAGTTTTTCTTATGCCTTCTTCTGCAGCTACTGCTTGCTACTATTGTACACGCTGATTTTGATGAATTGAATAATTATTGAATGTGATTCAAACTTTTTTTTTTGTGTGTATTAGTTATTGCCTTTACTTTGTGGACCCCACTTTTGGTAGAGGATAGAGAGGTCCGACTGGTTGAGGTTGAGCTGACTGTCAAAGGAGTTGTTAATTGTCATTAGGCGATGCTAACACGTTATTTAAACTAATTCATTACACGTTGGAGCTTGCCACCTGGAAAAGCTTTGTTTTTATCTTTTTTTGTCCTTTTTTGGTATTGTAGTGTCGTCTTCACTTTTAAAAACCTTTAAATTGTTTCCAAATTAGTAAGAAGTTTGGATTCATTGAACATAAATAAATGTGGGAATATGTGGAGTTGAATTAGGCTTTATCAATTTGAATTTGGTCTATTAAATATTTCAAAGTTTAAATATGATGCGTAGTTTATTATAGACTTAATTTTAGATTTTAGTATGATTTTTTCGAAGGTTTGTTTGACCTATTAATCTATATAAAAGTCTGTTTTATTTTAACATTTGTGAATAAGAAATTTTGTAAGTGTTTATTGACAACAATTTTGGTAAAACAATGACTTGATAATGTTTTGCTAAATGTGTTGACATTTGAAGCAAACTGTTTTAAATGATGTCAACTACATATTTGTTTAAGTTTTTTGTTTCCTATTTTTATGCGCGCCATTATTCAGGATTTGTGACTCATAGCTTACGAAAAATATGGAGGAATATTGTTCTATTTGAATTATCCTTATGGATTATATCTTGGCTTGTTTTCATGGAAATATTCAAAAGATTGGAATATTTGTTTTTTAGCCCAAGCCCACTGCCGCGGACTTGCTTCCTTATTCAAAACACAACAACTTTTAAAGAAGAATACATTCTTTCTGTTTTAGAAGTCTAAGTCTTTTAATTGTCATACACTCTAGTATTGGTTTAATACTTGAGTTATTATTTGAGTTGTTAATTGTGGATCATTCATAAGCTTTTAAGTATTGAATGATTGAAGTCTTTAAAACTTGATATTTTTGTTGTTCTTCACTGTTAGTGATTGAAGGGATTTGAGGAGAGTCTCATACATAAGTGTGTCTTAGGTAGAAGTATATCACGGGTAGTGATTAAGTGATTAGATTGTAAGTTGGTTGTTTACTGAGAGTATATGAATTGATACTATTTAGTGGACTTGTCTCTGGCTTGGTAGTCCCCAGAGTATGTGTGTTGTACACTGAACTGGGTTAACAATCCTTTGTATTTTTACCGCTTTTATTATTGTTGCACTTTACATTGTCCTTAGATATTTTTGTCGTGACATCTCTTTCGACATCACATATTTGATACTAGAATTTCAATTGGTACCAGAGTGTGCATCTTGCTCTATATCTGAGTGAGATCCAAGAAAGATATTTTCTGGTACTATGGACAAGGAAGGAGGATTTGTGAAAAGACCACTCATTCTTGATGGAAGTAATTATGACTATTGGAAACCACGTATGGTGGCCTTTTTTAAGTCTCTGGACAGCAGAGCTTGGAAAGCTGTCTTAAAAGGATGGAAACACCCTGCCAAATTAGGAGAAAAATGAGAACCTACTTCTGAGTTAAAACCAGAAGAAGATTGGTCTAAAGAAGAAGATGAAATTGCTCTTGGAAATTCTAAAGCCTTGAATTCTATATTCGATGGAATTGACAAGAACATTTTCAGATTAGTGAACACATGTGAAGTAGCTAAAGATGCATGGGGAATTCTTCAATCTACTCATGAAGGCACATCCAAAGTTAAGATATCAAGACTTCAGTTGCTCACCATAAAATTTGAGAATTTTAGAATGAAGGATGATGAAAGTATTAATGACTTCCATATGAACATTCTTGAGATTGCTAATGCATCCAGTGCTTTAGGAGAGAAAATACCTGAAGACAAATCGGTGAGAAAGATGCTCAGGTCTCTTCCCAAGAGATTTGGTATGAAAGTGACTGTTATAGAAGAAGCTCAAGACATTGACAAAATGAAAGTGGATGAACTTGTTGGATCCCTTCTGACATTTGAATTAAGCATCAATGAAAGTTTTGAAAAGAAGAACAAAAGCATAGCCTTTGTATCAAATGCTGAAGATGAAGAGGAGGGTTGTGATCTGGATGGAGGAATATCAAATGCCTTAGTTATGCTTGGAAGACAGTTTAACAAAGTGATAAAAAGAATGGATAGGAACCCAAGATCAAATGTCAAGGATATCTCATCTGACATCCATAAGTCAAATGAGTTTGGAAGAAAAAGGGCTGAAGAAAAATCCACTCAAGGGAAGGGAATACAATGTCATGAATGTGAAGGTTTTGGTCACATTAGAGCTGAATGTCCTACATATCTTAAGAAACAGAAGAAGAATTTATTTGTTACTTGGTCTGAAGAGGACTCAAAGAGTGATTTTGAAGAATCTGCCAAGCATGTTAAAGCATTGACATGCAAATATGTATCTGATGAAGAGTCTAGTGATGGGGAACTAATCTTTAATGAGTTAGTTGCTTCATACAAAGAATTATGCCTTAGAAGTACATAAGTATGCCAAGAAGGGGAGAAACAGAAAGTCCTCATAACTCAACTGAAGTCAGAAAGAGAAGAGCATCTGAAAACTATTTATAATCTGGAAAGTGAAGTGACTTCTCTGAATTCAAATCTTGATAGAATGGTCAAATCTCTCAAGATGCTGAATAATGGGTCTGACACATTAGATGAAATTCTTCAAGCGGGAAGAGTGACAAGAGACAAGAGTGGCATAAGGTTTAATGAGAAAAAGGAACCAAATTCATAAGAACATTCATTAGATTCCACTCATGCCAAGTCTAAACCAAATATGTTTAATCAAATGTCTAAACATCATGACAAACATCATGGGGAAAAAGGTTAATCACATCAAAGAGAAGTCCCAGCCCTGGAGATGTCATCACTGTGGAAGGCTTGGTCATATAATACCTTTCTGTTTCAATTTATATGGGTATCCTAAAACCACTCCTCTTCCCAAAACTGATCAGTTCCACCAAAATAACAAAAAGAAGAAACAGTGGGTTTCCAAGTTTAATGTTGCTACTTTCATAGTTCATACCTCTCTCAAAGTATCAACCAAAGATGACTGGTACTTTGACAGTGGTTGTTCTAGACACATGACAGGTGTCAAGAATCTGTTGGTAGATATCAAATCTCATTCTACCAGTTATGTGACTTTTGGTCATGGAGTCAAAGGTGAAATCAAAGGAGTTGGCCGGCTTGAATGTTCAGGAGTCCCTAAGCTTGATGATGTGTTACTTGTTAAAGGGTTAACAGGTAACCTGATAAGTATAAGCCAATTATATGATAAAGGATTCAAAGTTAACTTCACTAAAGAAGAATGTCTTGTTTGCAATGAAAAGAATGAAGTTATTATAAAAGGAATCAGATCTAAAGACAATTGTTATTTATGAATTTCCCATGAATTGAACTTCTCCTCAACATGTGTTTTAGCCAAAGAAAATAAAGTTAAACTATGGCATCAAAAATTGAGACACTTGCATCTGAAAGGAATGAAAAGAATTATATCTGAAGAAACCGTGAGAGGGATTCCTAAGCTCAAGATAGAAGAAGGAAGAGTGTATGGTGACTGCCAGATTGGAAAGCAAACTAAGATGTCACATCAGAAGATCCAACATCTTACTACATCAAAAAATTTGGAACTTCTTCACATGGACTTGATGAGACCTATGCAGGTTGAAAGTCTTGGTGGAAAGAAGTATGTCTATGTTGTTGTAGATGATTTCTCTAGGTACACATGTGTGATATGGTGGAAGAACCGACTGTTTAATACTGGTTTGCGTTTTGCATTTTTTGTTTTCAAAATGTCGCGGTAAGCAAGAGTCGCCACCGGCTTTTATTTCATCCAATCATGGAAAAGGAAAAAGAACAGAAAAAACCTTTTTTCGAGATATTCTGAGTGCGAGGGGTGGATTATAGAAAGGGAAGGTGTTAGCACCCTTTCTATCTGTAGTTATCTACGGGCTCTTAGGTACTTGCTCATTTTTCAAATTGCTTGTGTGTGTTTGTCTTGAAAATGTTTTACTTCGTGATAACCCTTGTATCAGTCCTCAAGGGTGTGACGAAGTTGTTTTGAAAATTTGTTTTGAAAAGGTGTTTGTGTGAAACAATTTTCATTGAGCAAGTAATTAAGATTCTACCTACTCGAAAAAGGATTGTTCGTTCTATTTCCTTTAGACAATGATATCCCACTATTAAGGAGTAGGTAGCACCGTCGTTGGAGTTGTAAGGGACATTCGAAAGGGACAAGTACAATCACTAAAGTAATAGTTAGAAAACTTTAGTAGTAACCCTAGAGTCTTAAGATCTTTTAGAGGCAACGTTTCCGAGGCAACATTCGAATGAGACATTTGATCTTTTAGACAGGAGGGCGACCACTAAAACTTCCTATGCTTAATGATTGTTTATCGAAGGCAACCAAAGTGAGGCAAACCCTAGGAGTGAATATGTGCATATGATTTGTTTCAGTTATTTAATCTTTGCACATTAGGTGATCTACCATTTTAATTTTCCAGACAATCTTGCCATACAATCCTATTAGCCATACATCTAGACAGTTAAAGATTGCGGGAATTTAAAGTGCGAGAAAATAAAACCTAGATATTACAAGGCTTCGGGGAGGGGGATTAATTACATAACCAAAAATCGGGGATTTAAACAGTAAATAAAACCCTAGATTAACTATTACAAACCAATAATCAGTTACAAAAATAATGGAAAATAATCAATGAGCGCGGGGCAAATTATATACGAGAGAAAATTGAAAATCCTAAAATCTAATTGAAAAATAATTTGGGTTGTATTTTTGAGAAAAGAATTGATTAAATTACGTACGCCTAAAACCCTAATTCTAATCTTTTTAATTATGAAA